CCGTGAGTCGGATGAGTAACTTCCAAATCTGGGAGAGTTACAGTCAAATTGCCTTTTGGAAGAGAAACACGGGCAGTGAGCGCAGTCCTTACTGTTAAAGGCTTTTTTCTTGCTAAAGCAGCTCAGGATCTTATCACCTATTTTTTTACCTGATGTTTTGCAGGCTCCACGTAACTAAGAGCATTAGAGATGTTCTACGGTTGCAAGCACATCATTTTATTTACAGAAAATAACTCCAAAAAGAGTTTTGTATTGTAATCACTTCAATCAAGTATTAAGATTGGCAAGTTGTAAGCTTGAAATTGTTCCATTGTATTTATTTTGCTTGATTTTCCCCCAAATTGATTTTCCCTCTCTTTCTCTCTTCCTCTCTCCCTTCCTCCTTCCCATCTTCTTTAATTTCTTCTTTGTTTTTGTTAAGTTACTCTGTGCCCTATTGTATTCCACGTACCTAGCTCCTACACCTGGACTTCAGTCGATATTCAGCTAATATTTCTTCTGTGTCTCTTTTATAAATCACCTGTAAATTTGACATCAGTCAAGTAGTTCATTTGTTAAATAGCTCAGTATTATGTAATCTATATTTTAAATGTCTTCTATTTTACACAAGTCGAACCTAAGACATTGGAGTTTTCTGTTTTTCAGTCCCTTCCATAGCATAATGTTGAAACTAAACATGTACTCTGCTTCATATAACTGGGAACTAGTATTTTTTGCATACATAGTCATTTCTATAGATATAGCAGATTCTTTTTAGGGTTAACTGGTAATCTGTTGCCTTTATCTGTTATGTAATCCACCTTGACGACTGTGAGACACAGCTTACAAAAGTATCACTGTGTTACTGTGTAAATATTTAATAACGTGACCGTTCTTCCAAGTTTAGGTAATCAGAGCACATGACCCAATCAGGTTGAATGCAACCAGACAGGGAACAGCCTGGGACTGGAGAGTTGGCAACTGTAATTAATCATTAATTGACTTATGTATACCTGGGATAGGTCAAAGTAGTGATGATTATTAACCTTGGTTACAATTTAAATGGCCTAGGGATCTTTTAACAAATACCAACATCACGCCAATGGAATCCGAGGTGGGGCCTGGGCACCTGTATTTTAAAAAGCATCCTAAGTGATTCTGATGCAAGCGAACCTGAGAATCCTTGGGTTTGAATCTCTTAGTAATATCAATGAAAAAACAAAACGGTTTGGGGTCGTTTTAACCGGGTCATCAGCTATTGTTCCTACATGCTCCTGACCCTCTTACTACTCTTTTTTCACTTTAACCCTTTCCTATTTATGAAAATATAAAAAGTTTGGGTTGGACTCATAATCCTGCCAAATCAAAATTTGCTTTGCGTATATTAGCTAAGGCCTGGCTACCCTCTTGACATCAGTCTCCATTTCAGAAGGTATTTCAAATTAGCTTTCTTAAATATGTCATGATCTCATTTGAAAAACTGTCATTCTGAAGTTTATGTTGTAAAAATTTGTTTACATTTTTATATATTTTTTTAAGTCACTGAATTCCATGGTTTTACTCTTTGAACTAATGCTTTCTCTTGTTTTTCCAAAAGTCACTGCCTTTAAAATTCAGACATCCCTTTAATTCTAATACAAAAGGATTTTGTAATAAACATCATGTTCAAGTTTATAATTTTATAGGCTGATTATTAATGGCACTCATGTATATTATTGGGTCTGTTCCAACTTCGTTGTTTCCTGATTTTTAAATAAAATCATATCTTATATAAAAATGTCAAATTTTGTAACTTTGAAACTTTTTCATGTAAATATAGTCACAAACCAGAACATACACTCTTAGTTAATGTATCTTGATTATTAAAAAAAAGTCACATTAAATATATTCATTTTTACTTTTCTTTCCTAATCCTCAAGAATGCTTTTCTTTTTCTTTGTGTGACAATCTCCAATCCTTTTTGTCTTCTAGATTCTGGATTTGTTTTTTTTGTTTTTTTTCATCCGTTGTACTTTATGAATGGCCAGTGTCTGGCACATGTACCATATATTGATTAGTTCTTGCTGCAAAACAAATTACCCAGAAGTTCCATGGCTTAAAACAACAGTTGTTTGTAACTGTTCTTGTCTCTCTGAAGGTTGGCAGAAGTTCAGCTGATGTAGGCTGGGCTCAGCTTTGTGACTTTGCTTCTCTGTGCAGATTTATGGGATGCCTGGGGCAGCTCTTCTTCAGGCTGTGGCGACCAGGATGGTTTCCTATCATGTATCTCTCATCCTTCTGATATGACCACAGCACCACTTGAGGTATGTTTGTTTGTTTTTTTAATAAATCTATTTTATTTTTATTTATTTATTTTTGGCTGCATTGGGTCTTCATTGCTGCGCCTGGGCTTTCTCTAGTTGTGGTGAGCGTGGGCTTCTTATTGCGGTGGCTTCTCTTGTTGCAGACCACGGGCCCTAGGGTGTGCGGGCTTCAGTAGTTGTGGTACGTGGGCTTCAGTAGTTGTGGCGCATGGGCTCAGTTGCTCCACAGCATGTGGGATCTTCCCGGACCAGGGCTCGAACCTGTGTCCCTTGCGTTGGCAGGCGGATTCTTAACCACTGCACCATCAGGGAAGCCCGAGGTATATTCTTCTCATGAAAACGGCAGAGAGCAAGTGGAAACACAGGAGGACATTAAGGTCTTGGTTCAGAAATTGCTTACTTCTACCCACATGCCATTGACTGAAACAAGTTACAGAGCCAACCCCAAGTCAAAGGATAGAAAAGTCTACTCTGTCCTTCCTGAGGTCATGCAAAAGTATGGATGCAGAAAGAGGGCTGGAATTGGGGCAATAAGTCAATCCATGACACAGCAATACTTCTCATTCTTGTGCTCTTGGCTGATGTCATTTACCTGTTAAATCAGTCTTTCCTATTGAGCTAAGATTGGTCTCAGAATTGTTCTATGAAGCTATGCAAAATTGATTCCCTAATAGAGTAGGAACTGTTTTCCCTTCCTTATCTAGTGTTTGCTTTCTTCATGTTGATCGTTTCTTTCTCCTTTATATTAATTAAAATTTGGTCTAGATTGGCTGACCAGTATAAAGCATTAGTTAATCAACATATTTTTATTTAACAAATAGTTCATTTTTGCCTTCAGTTAGGACAAGACTGCAGTGAGGGATGACACTTCTCTGCCCTCTTAAGGGCAGATGTGTGGCCACTGACTTACGTTCCTAATGGAATGTGAGGAGAAGTGACCCATGTTTCTTCCAGGATGAATCCTTTAATTTTGAGACTCTTCAGTGCTTCTACCCTTGCCATGTGGTCATGGAAGCAAATATTGATCTGGAGACCCTGGGTCGTTACATAGAAAACAGATTCCCCTTAAGCATCAGCCAGGCTCACCACCTATTTGCTTAAGTGAGGAATAAAACTTTTTTAGGCCACCGAGATTTGGGGACTTTCTGTTACCCCAAAACTTAACCTACTGTGAACAAACTGTGTTTTCCCAAAACTGAAGCTGAAGATAAAGATATGTATAAATAAATGCAATTCACTGGAGCCAATTCACAATTTTAGATGAACAAGAACAATATAATCATAGAGATCATAATCATAGAGGAAAAGAAGACCTCAGCAGACAAATGTGAGTGATTTTCAATAGTTCTTTTTCTTATCATGGGTAGCAACTCAAATTGATGGCCTTTGAAAGAGCTCTCATGCTGATCACTATATCTACCCAAGTAGGAGAAAATTAAACAAAACAAAACAAACTAAGTGAGAAAAGGAGAGGCTTAAAAACACCAAGCAAAGGGGGTATCCTTAGCAAACTTTCCTTTTCTGCTGTCACTCACACCTGACTGAACTGATGTTTGTATATGGGGGTATTGATTGGGAAGGTATCTTTGAAGAAGTTGTCTATTCAGCCTTTGTTTTACATCAGGCTAATCTTGGACTGAAATTTAAGACGCTGCTCTTACAACTCTCTGAATTGATTTATCTCTTGCCTGCCCTGCAAAATTGATTTTTGACACTTATTTCGGTATCCTGGAAAGTACAGAGTTGAGACTTTGATATATCTGTGGATAGAGACAGGTAATATTTTTTTTGACATTTGGCAGAGAAGTGTCCTAATTCATAAAATATTTAGGGACATTCTTAACTTAAGAATGTTCAGGAACATTGCTTCATTCATAGGGACCCAACCAGTCCCTTGAGAAAGAACTTGAACACTATATATAATTAGGGCTCAGATATATAGAAACAGACTGATAGACTGATGGACCTGGAAGCAAGGATGGATATGAAGAGTTCCTGTTGGAGAGTTACCATGAATGAGAAAGGAATCTGGTAGCGTAGGCCAGAATAAACAGGTAAGGATGGATGTCAAGTGTGGTAGAAGTACTAGGTATAGAATGAAGCTGTGCTTTAATACTCACAAGCCCAGAAGGTTATCAGTGCTCATGGGCTTTGAGAAGAAAAGGGCTGAGATAAAAACAAAAGCCTAGGGAACTGGAGGCATGGTTCTCCTGTGACTAACCACTGCCCCAGCCCTCAGAGACCTGAAGGTAAGATGTGGGAATCACTTACTTATTTCCTGAGATAAAAAAAGTAAATTACCAGAAACATGACAGTCAGCCTCAGCATAAATATGAAACAATGAACTATCCCAGTTTACAGACAGCAAGAACTGAGAACTTAAAGTGCAGAACAACTGTTGGAAACTGATCATATGTGAGACACACCCCTCATGTCAGGACTCCCAATAGGAAAGAGAGTGTACTTTTGGAGCCATAAAAATGGTAAAGTTTGGGTGCCTAGAATATAACTGAAACTATCTCTGGAAGATGATAAATCTGAAATATATATCTCAATTTTATATGAAATATACATCTTCAATTTCAGTTTAAGATTAGCTTGATATAAAAGCAAAGGCTGAGTAGACAACTTCTGTAAAGATAACCTTCCCAATCAATACCTCCATATTTAAACCTCAGGGCAAACATTTTAGTGAAACATACATACATACAAAAAGAGGACTAATAATAAATGTAGAACTCAAGGAACTTCCACAAAATGAACAGATCAGTAACCCCAGAACCCAGATCAAGAAACGGAATATTACCAGCATCCCTGAAGCCTCTTCATTCACCCTTCCAGTCAATATACCTTCAAGACTGACATAACGTAGTTTTGCTTGATCTTGAACTTTATATACATGGAACCACACAGTAGACCTTTTTTGTATCTGGCTTCTTTGACTCAACATTTTATGTCTGAGATTTATTCCTATTGCATGTAGTTTTAATTTGTTAATTTCTTATTGCCCTATAGTAATCCACAGCATGAATATAGCACAATTTATTTATCCATTCTACTGCGGATGGATTTTTTTTCCAGCTTGAATTTACTAGGAATAGTGCTAATGTGAACCTTCTAGCATATGTGTTTTGATGAGCATTTGTGCAAATTTCTGTTCTTTGTATAACTAGGCATGAAATTACAGGGTCATAAGAGGATGCATATATATAGCTTACTGTAATGAACAGTTTTCCACACTGGTTGTACCAATTTACATTTCCATCGACAGCATATGAAAGTTACACTTGTTCCATGTCATTACTAACACTTGATACCATCTTTCGTTTTTTCATTTTAGCCATTCCTGTGTAATTATAATAGCCTCTCACTGTGGTTTTAAATTGAATTTCACTGATGACTAATGATGTTGAGCACTTTTTCATATGTTATTAGACATTTTGATATATTTTTAATGAACTGGCTCCTGTTCAATTTTTTTGGTGGCTTTTTTCCTATTAGTTTGTCTTTTTCTCATTGATATGCCTTTGATAATTATTTCTTATGTCAGAACATATTCTGAATTATTTCAATATTTTAAAGTTTGTTTTCATTATGGCCCAGATTATGGTCAGTTTTGGTAAATAGCCCATAAATATTTGAAACAAATGTTAATTCTATCACTCTAGCACATTTTACATATGCTAATTAGGTAAAGTTTGTTAATTCTAGATATTTTATATCTTTACTATTTTTGTACGATTTATCTGCCAGCTATCTAGAGACCTGTGTTAAAATCTTCATATATGATTGGGGATGCGCATTTTCTTTATTTCTGTCAAATTTTGCTTATATTTTTTGAAGCTATGTTTTTGGATACACATGGATTTAGGATTGTGATATCTTTCTCTTGATTGGTCTCTTTCGCATTATGAAATATGCCTTTTTATCTGTGGGAATCTGTCTTACCTTAACATCTAATTTAACTTCTACTGATAGAACTGCACTATCTATGTGTCTATCATCTATCAAGTATTATTATTAGCATGGTACAGGTTTTCCTATCCTTCTCTTCTCAAACTTTCTGTGTCCTTGTATTTAAAGTGTGTTTTTCTTTTTATAAGTACTATATAGTTGGATGTAAGCAGCCTGTAGTTTGCCTTTTATTTGGAGTATTTAGTCCAAATTCATTTAATGTAATATTGATGCAGTTGAGTTTATAGATATCATTGTATTCTTTGTTATCTTTTTGGCCCACCTGTATTATGTTATGTTTTCTTTACTTTTAATTTGAATAAAAAAATATAATTTTTTATTATTTAAATTTTCTCTTCTAAGAACAATGTGGTAGCTGCTAGCTGCAGGTGGCTATTTAAATAAAATAAATATTTTAGTTCCTCAGTCATACTAGCCACATTTCAAGTGGATAATCATCTCATATGGCTAATGGTTAAGATATTGTCGGTACAGATATAGGACATTTCTCTCATTTCAGAAAAATCTATTATACAGTATGGTTCTAGAGGGTGCTACCTGCATCTTTATTAGGGTCTACCTTAAATTATTATTATTTTTTTTACATCTTTATTGGAGTATAATTGCTTTACAATGGTGTGTTAATTTCTGCTTTATAACAAAGTGAATCAGTTATACATATACATATGTTCCCATATCTCTTCCCTCTTGCGTCTCCCTCCCTCCCACCCTCCCTATCCCACCCCTCTAGGTGGTCACAAAGCACCGAGCTGATCTCCCTGTGCTATGCGGCTGCTTCCCACTAGCTATCTATTTTACGTTTGGTAGTGTATATATGTCCATGCCACTCTCTCCCATTGTCACAGCTTACCCTTCCCCCTCCCCATATCCTCAAGTCCATTCTCTAGTAGGTCTGTGTCTTTATTCCCGTCTTACCCCTAGGTTCTTCATGACATTTTTTTTTTCTTAGATTCCATATATATGTGTTAGCATATGGTATTTGTCTTTCTCTTTCTGACTTACTTCACTCTGTATGACAGACTCTAGGTCCATCCACCTCGCTACAAATAACTTAATTTCGTTTCCTTTTATGGCTGAGTAATATTCCATTGTATATATGTGGCACATCTTCTTTATATATTCATCTGATGATAGACACTTACGTTGCTTCCGTCTCCTGGCTATTGTAAATAGAGCTTCAATGAACATTTTGGTACATGACTCTTTTCGAATTATGGTTTTCTCAGGGTATATGCCCAGTAGTGGGATTGCTGGGTCATATGGTAGTTCTATTTGTAGTTTTTTAAGGAACCTCCATACTGTTCTCCATAGTGGCTGTACCAATTCACATTCCCACCAGCAGTGCAAGAGTGTTCCCTTTTCTCCACACCCTCTCCAGCATTTATTGTTTCTAGATTTTTTGGTGATGGCCATTCTGACCAGTCTGAGATGATATCTCATTGTAGTTTTCACTTGCATTTCTCCAATGATTAATGATGTTGAGCATTCTTTCATGTGTTTGTTGGCAAACTGTATATCTTCTTTGGAGAAATGTCTATTTAGCTCTTCTGCCCTTTGTTGGATTGGGTTATTTGTTTTTTTGTTATTGAGCTGCATGAGCTGCTTGTAAATTTTGGAGATTAATCCTTTGTCAGTTGCTTCATTTGCAAACATTTTCTCCCATTCTGAGTGTTGTCTTTTGGTCTTGTTTATGGTTTCCTTTGCTGTGCAAAAGCTTTGAAGTTTCATTAGGTCCCATTTGTTTATTTTTGTTTTTATTTCCATTTCTCTAGGAGGTGGGTCAAAAAGGATCTTGCTGTGATTTATGTCATAGAGTGTTCTGCGTATGTTTTATTGATATGTATGTTCCTATTCCCATTTTCTTAATTGTTTTGGGTTTTTTATTGTAGGTCTTTTCCTTCCCTTGTGTTTCTTGCCTAGAGAAGTTCTTTTAGCATTTGTTGTAAAGATGGTTTGGTGGTGCTGAACTCTCTCAGCTTTTGCTTGTCTGTAAAGGTTTTAATTTCTCCATCAAATCTGAATGAGATCCTTGCTGGGTAGAATAATCTTGGTTGCAGGTTTTTCTCCTTCATCACTTTAAATATGTCCTGCCAGTCCCTTCTGGCTCGCAGAGTTTCTGCTGAGAGATCAGCTGTTAACCTTATGGGGATTCCCTTGTGTGTTATTTGTTGTTTTTCCCTTGCTGCTTTTAATATGTTTTCTTTGTATTTAATTTTTGACAGTTTGCTTAATATGTGTCTTGGCGTGTTTCTCCTTGGATTTATCCTGTATGGGACTCTCTGTGCTTCCTGGACTTGATTAACTATTTCCTTTCCCATATTAGGGAAGTTTTCAACTATAATCTCTTCATATATTTTCTCAGTCCCTTCCTTTTTCTCTTCTTCTTCTGGGACCCCTATAATTCGAATGTTGGTGCATTTAATGTTGTCCCAGAGGTCTCTGAGACTGTCCTCAGTTCTTTTCATTCTTTTTTCTTTAGTCTGCTCTGAAGTAGTTATTTCCACTATTTTATCTTCCAGATCACTTATCTGTTCTTCTGCCTCATTTATTCTGCTATTGATCCCATCTAGAGTATTTTTCATTTCATTTATTGTGTTGTTCATTGTTGTTTGTTTCATCTTTAGTTCTTCTAGGTCCTTGTTAAATGTTTCTTGCATCTTGTCTATTCTATTTCCAAGATTTTGGATCATCTTTACTATCATTATTCTGAATTCTTTTTCAGGTAGACTGCCTATTTCTTCCTCATTTGTTAGGTCTGGTGGGTTTTTATCTTGCTCCTTCATCTGATGTGTGTTTTTCTGTCTTCTCATTTTGTTTATCTTACTGTGTTTGGGGTCTCCTTTTTGCAGGCTGCAGGTTCGTACTTCCCGTTGTTTTTGGTGTCTGTCCCCAGTGGCTAAAGTTGGTTCAGTGGGTTGTGTATGCTTCCTGGTGGAGGGGACTAGTGCCTGTGTTCTGGTGGATGAGGCTGGATCTTGTCTTTCTGGTGGGCAGGTCCACGTCTGGTGGTGTGTTCTGGGGTGTCTGTGGCCTTACTATGATTTTAGGCAGCCTCTCTGCTAATGGGTGGGGTTGTGTTCCTGTCTTGCTAGTTGTTTGGCATAGGGTGTCCAGTACTGTAGCTTGCTGGTCGTTGAGTGAAGCTGGGTGTTGGTGTTGAGATGGAGATCTCTGGGAGATTTTCGCCGTTTGATATTACGTGGAGCTGGGAGGTCTCTTGTGGACCAGTGTCCTGAAGTTGGCTCTCCCTCAGAGGCACAGCACTGACTCCTGGCTGCAGCACCAAGAGACTTTCACCCACACGGCTCCTCAATTTGGGATGATTCATTGTCTATTCATGTATTCCACCGATGCAGGGTACATCAAGTTGATTGTGGAGAATTTTTTTTTTTTTTTTTTGCGGTACGCGGGCTTCTCACTGTTGTGGCTTCTCCCGCTGAGGAGCACAGGCTCCGGATGCGCAGGCTCAGCGGCCATGGCTCACGGGAGACAGCATGTGGGATTTTCCCGGACTGGGGCACGAACCCGTGCCGCTGTATCGGCAGGCGGACTTTCAACCACTGCGCCAACAGGAAAGCCCTGATTGCGGAGATTTAATCCGCTTCTTCTGAGGCTGCTGGGAGGGATTTCCCTTTCTCTTCTCTGTTCACACAGCTCCCGGGGATCAGTTTCGGATTTGGCCCCGCCTCTGCGTATACGTCGTTGGAGGGCGTCTGTTCTTCGCTCAGACAGGACGGGGTTAAAGGAGCCGTTGACGCGGGGGCTCTGGCTCACTCAGGCCGAGGCGAGGGAGGGGCATGTATGCGGGGCGGGCCTGCGGCGGCAGAGGCCGGCGTGACGTTGCAGCAGCTTGAGGCGCGCCGTGCGTTCTCCCGGGGAAGTTGTCCCTGGGTCCCGGGACCCTGGCAGTGACGGGCTGCACAGGCTCCCCAGAAAGGAGGTGTGGAGAGTGACCTGTGCTCGCACACAGGCTTCTTGGCGGCGGCAGCAGCAGCCTTAGCGTCTCATGCCCGTCTCTGGGGCTCGCGCTGTTAGCCGCGGCTCGCGCCTGTCTCTGGAGCTCCTTTAAGCAGCGCTCTTAATCCCTTCTCCTCGCGCACCAGGAAACAAAGAGGGAAGAAAAAGTCTCTTGCCTCTTCGGCAGCTCCAGACTTTTTCCCGGACTCCCTCCTGGCTAGCCGTGGTGCACTAACCCCCTGCAGGCTGTGTTCACGCCGCCAGTCCTCTCCCTGCGCTCAGACCGAAACCTGAGCCTCAGCTCCCAGCCCCGCCCGCCCCGGCAGGTGAGCAGACAAGCCTCTCGGGCAGGTGAGTGCCGGTCGGCCCTGATCCTCTGTGCGGGAATCTCTCCGATTTGCCCTCCGCACCCCTGTTGCTATGCTCTCCTCCGCGGCTCTGAAGCTTTTGCCCTCCACCACCCGCAGTCTCCGCCCGCGAAGGGGCTTCCTAGTGTGTGGAAACTTTTCCTCCTTCACAGCTCCCTCCCACTGGTGCAGGTCCCGTCCCTATTCTTTTGTCTCCGTTTATTCTTTTTTCTTTTGCCCTACCCAGGTACGTGGGGAATTTGTTGCCTTTTGGGAGGTCTGAGGTCTTCTGCCAGCGTTCAGTAGGTGTTCTGTAGTTGTTCCACGTGTAGATGTATTTCTGATGTATCTGTGGGGAGGAAGGTGATCTCCGCGTCTTTCTCTTCCGCCATCTTCCCCCTCTCTCTCCTAAATTATTATTTTTACCACTTGCCTGATAATGCTAGAATTTTAGAATACTCTCTTGTTTTTTTAACATCTTTATTGGAGTATAATTGCTTTACAATGGTGTGTTAGTTTCTGCTTTATAACAAAGCAAATCAGCTACACGTGTATGTATATCCCCATATCTCCTCCCTCTTGCATCTCCCTCCCACCCTCCCTATCCCACCCTTCTAGGTGGCCACAAAGCACCGAGCTGATCTCCCTGTGCTATGCAGCTGCTTCCCACTAGCTATCTATTTTGCATTTGGTGGTATATATAAGTCCATGCCACTCTGTCACTTCGTCCAATTTACCCTTCCCCCTCCCCTCCCTGTGTCCTCAAGCCCATTCTCTACGTCTGTGTCTTTATTCCTGTCCTGCCCCTAGGTTCTTCATAACCACTTTTTTTTTTAGATTCTATATACATGTGTTAGCATACGGTATTTGTTTTTCTCTTTCTGACTTCACTAGGTCCATCCACCTCACTACAAATAACTCAATTTCGTTTCTTTTTATAGCTGAGTAATATTCCATTGCATATTTGTGCCACATATTCTTTATCCATTCACCTGTCAGTAGACACTTAGGTTGCTTCCGTGTCCTGGCTATTGTAAATAGAGCTTCAATGAACATTTTGGTACATGACTCTTTTTGAATTATGGTTTTCTCAGGGCATATGCCCAGTAGTGGGATTGCTGGGTCATATGGTAGTTCTATTTGCAGTTTTTTAAGGAACCTCCATACTGTTCTCCATAGTGGCTGTACCAATTTACATTCCCACCAACAATGCAAGAGGGTTCCCTTTTTTTCCACACCTGTCTAGCATTTACTGTTTGTAGATTTTTTGATGATGGCCATTCTGACTGGTGTGAGGTGATACCTCTTTGTAGTTTTGATTTGCATTTCTCTAATGATTAATGATGTTGAGCATCCTTTCATGTGTTTGTTGGCAATCTTTATATCTTCTTTAGAGAAATGTCTATTTAGGTCCTCTGCCCATTTTTCGATTGGGTTGTTTGTTTTTTTTGATATTGAGCTACATGAGCTGCTTGTAAATTTTGGAGATTAATCCTTTGTCAGTTGCTTCATTTGCAAATATTTTCTCCCATTCTGAGGGTTGTCTTTTTGTTTTGTTTATGGTTTCCTCTAATTCTGCCTTTTTAACGCCTGTCCCCTTCTGTGATTTTCAAACAGGAATATGAGGACATCCATGGACACTGACATCATACCAGGTAATATATATTCTAATCATTTTTGTTGTTGTTGCTTCTTTCTCAATCTTTGTGCAAAACTAATTACTAGAGATTGATTCATGAAAAATAACTAAATGGTTCAGTTTGTACAATGAGTAAATAGAAAACATAAAATCCTGATATTCTTTTCAGGTGATATCACTTCAAAATGATCTGATAAATAGGATTTAAAAAACCTGAAAAGATTTTTATAATCTTTTTTTTTTCAGTTTTTGAGGTTAAATAGTAAAAATTTAAGAGAGACAATTATTTAATTTTATGAAGACCTTAACGTGGCAAGTTTAAAATTTTAATTCACTTTCTTGGTGTTATCACAAAGTACTTTGTTTCAAGACAGCATCATGTAGTTCTGAACTATTTTTTCTTTTTCCTAAAATTATTTCAGTAAAAATTCCAAATATACAAGGAAAATATTTTACATATAACACAACTTTAATATATATGTATGTGTATATATATGTTACCACATACATACAAGCATACACACACATTACAAATAGAAATATAAATAATATTCTGTTGAATCTGTAATGGTAGAAAATATAATTTTCAATTATCCAGTATCTTGTCACCTCTTGGGAGAAAAGTGATCTTCATTATGTTGTCAGCTTTCAAAGTTGAGTGAAAGTTTACTTGCTAGTTACAGTGCTTGAACTCCTGTATAGTAAATTAAGTTCTACAAAGCTCCCATGTATTTACTGGAGTTTAACAAAACTGCATGATTTTGTACTACTTGGATACCAGCGGGAAGCAACCCCTGGGAGAAGAAATCACAGCTGGGAGCAATTAAGACTGATTAGTTTGTGGCTGAGGAAATCAAAATGGAAAGAAACTTCTCTTCGGGGGGAATTAGGAGCTGCATTCCCAAGCATTTCCGAATTAAGTGCAATTCTCAGAGGAATTTAAGACTGAAGGAAAAATGTGAATTTCAAATATTTGGAGGTTTTCTCAGCTTATTTAACTTCTGTGTAATCACTATTTGTTGACTCTTGGATATTTGAAGGAAAAGAAGTTCAAGTAAATTGACCAACTTTTCTTTTTACATATTTCCCTTTTTCCACATAGCTGAAGGTTTCCTTAATATTTTCATTTGCCCTTATAGACAGAATATAGATGGTTTCGTAACATTTTACTATTCATTTTATAGCGATTGGGATAGCTGTGCTCTCTGAGATATTGGCAAAGCATAAATATCACTTCTCTTGAAAAAAATACACATTATTGTGTATGAGATTGGTCTGAATTATCTTTTAGAAACTGTAAAATAGTCCAGTTGAAATTTTAAGTAAGAAATATGCAGAAACTTTTTTTTTTTTTTTTTTTTCGGTACGCGGCCCTCTCACTGCTGTGGCCTCTCCCGTTGCGGAGCACAGGCTCCGGACGCGCAGGCTCAACGGCCATGGCTCACGGGCCCAGCCGCTCTGCGGCACGTGGGATCTTCCCGGACCGGGGCACGAACTTGTGTCCCCTCCATCGGCAGGCGGATTCTCAACCACTGCGCCACCAGGGAAGCCCGTGCAGAAACTTTTTACATAATTCCTGAAACTGCCATCTTGGTTAAAAAATTGGTTTCTAAAGAGCTAGTAAGGATGTACTTAATAAAGCAAAGAAATTAAATATAATAACAGAATGCATAGCTTATACTGGTTTCTTTTCCTTTATATTTGAATTATAGATATGCATTAGAAACATATTTCTTTTGAATAGGCTGAACTGGGTTGCTAACAAATTATAATATAAATTAAATAGAAAGTTGTTCTTCTAGATTTTTAAAAATAATCAGAGATTCATTTATTCTCAATTCTACTTGTTAGTTGGTACTAACCTTGTTTTATGTGGATACCTTTATTACTGTATTGAACCTTCTATAGCAGAAACATTATGACAATAGTAGGATGTTATAAGCAATAATGATTCTATTTTTCTTTCTCTTAACAGATAGAATGGGTTATTTTCATATGTAACCATCTATCTAACATGATATTCATCTGTATCCAGATTTTCAAAATAATCTTTTAAAAAGTTTTCCTCTTGCCTTTCATTCCATCGCTCTCTCTCCCTCTCCCCTCTATCACTATTGGGTGTGTTGAAAATATCACAGATGAGGAGGAAAGTGAAGGCCAGTATTTGAAAACATATTCCAAATAATCACTTGGAAGGACTGATGGTACAAAGGGCATAAACAATGTAAGAGAAGGAATGCGTAATTATTAACTACAAAAGATATGGCTTGGTGGGGTGATAAATAACTGAACCAAAAATTGCCTTGAGTTTTATTTCTAGATATATCTCTGTGTCACCTCAGTTAGTTTCCTTTAATTTATTTCACTACTTTAACCACTTTAGAGAATGACTATGCTAATTCTGGATGATTGGATAACCTTAATGTTATACTTTTAGAAAAAGCTTTATTAAAAATATATTGAGAATCATACATGTTATTTCTGGTTTGGGGAAATTATTAACTAAATTATAGGAAGTCATGGTTCAAAATTCTGCAATCGCTGACCAGAGATATATGAAAAGGGATGGTTATTGCCCCAGTTGATTTTCTGTTTCCTAAACCAGTAGTTCTCCACTTTTTATGTTTTACGTCCCATGAGTTCTTCTATAAAAGAACCCAAGTTTCAACATAAGAAACACAAAAGCTCATTTCCACATTGGAAATGCACATATTTGCCTGCATTACAAAGACATTCACAGTAAGATCTACCAACATAAATCACTGCATTAATGTCGGGGGTATATATTCTTGACACTGGAGATTTTATATCTGATGATACTGTTTTTCTCGGGCAGGACAAAATACATTACTATCATTAGTAGTTTAATAGAGCTGCTACCTATGCTGACAAGACACAGTAATAAAAAGGCCAGCACATTGGGAGTGAAGTGGTGTGGAGTCTACAAAGAACCACAGAAACCATTAGAAAGCAAGCCCCGGAAATGAGTTAAGCACAAGTCTCAATTTCCAAGTTTATCCTATATGATCCATAGCAGGTCAGGTCAGCAATATAGTCCTACTTGCAACTGGATGTGGGAGTTAAGTTATCAATAGAAAGAATTCTTGGAACATTTAGGAAAGCGCTTTTTGTCACCAGCGGCCTTCAAACTGGGACACATATAATCTGGAAGTGAAAGAAAACTTTCCAAGGGGTAAGAAAGCCCAGCTGTTTTTTTTTTTCTTTTTTCTTTTTGCGGTACGCGGGCCTCTCACTGCCGCGGCCTGTCCCGCTGCGGAGCACAGGCTCCGGACGCCCAGGCTCGGCGGCCATGGCTCACGGGCCCAGCCACTCCGCGGCATGTGGGATCTTCCCGGACCGGGGCACGAACCCGGGTCCCCTGCATGGGCAGGCGGACTCTTAACCACTGCGCCACCAGGGAATCCCAAGCCCAGGTGTTTTTAAGGGACAGTTTTCAGATCTTCCACTTTACTATGAACTCTTTCCTAAAATTAGTCTGTGATTGCTTTCACAATAATACTTCTTCCATTTTATCTAAGTAAAGCATCCCTCTTCACCCCAAATCTTACTACAGAGTTTTAGACCCCTTTGGATACTTCTGTGAAAGCTTTAAGGACGGACAAAGCACAAAACCCCTCAGAGATTACCATCTTTCCCTCCTTGTGCATATTCTCTTAAGCACAGAGTATGGCATTTAGAAAGCAGGGTATTTTGCTCTGTATGGGATCTTCATGGAATCTTTTGAATTCAGGTGTTTGGTAGTGTTGCACTGTGGGATTGATGGCCACATTTATTCAAAGGTTTTCTTTTTATTTTCATCATCTGTCCTCTTACGAAAAGTGCACTACTTTAGCAGGAGAGTCTCAGGAAACCACATCTAAACAAATATCAGTATGAAATAGTGGACAGTAAAAATGTTTTTCCCGTGTATGTAAAAATAAACCACTCTTTTCCACTATTCTCAATATTCATCCTTGGGAAGATTTTAAAAAATTACCTTCAAATAACCAAAGCAAACATAGATTATTGACAATGCCTTTTAAATTCTAACTGAAATATTTTCAAGTGCTACCAATTTGTTCATGATTCATTGACTAAAAGTCTAAGGCTAAGATTTTGTTATGATTTCTTTGAGATTCATAATAAGTCATATTATGAAATATTTATTCCAATTGTGGCTAAGCCTTATCTTATTTTACCATCTAATATTTAATATTTTCTGCCATCTATAGACAAAGTCTAAAATCATATAGTAGCTCAGGGATAGATTCACTTTAACAGTATATATGCCTTTCCATTTCATTGAGTACATTAAAAAAGTTCAGTCATGATATATATAGTTAAATGGGTTGTTTCTGACTTTGATGCTTGATTGTTATTTAATTATTCTACTAAGTTGAATCTAGGACTTCAATACTTGCACATAAACATTTTTCAAAGAATACAGATAAGTTTAATTTTAGCTATTATAGTATATTCATTTATATTATATCTCATTACAAATTAAAGAGAAACTATGTTTTTCTACTCATTTTCTAAAGTTATAAATGTGGATAAAATAAATGCATTTTGATCTTTATCAGTTTAATCTTGATGAGACAACCTTTAGTAATCAATATTAAAGGTATTTTGTTTCTTATAGAAGGGAAGTTAGATTGTGCCATTCAGGCTATATTGAGAACACTTTTCACAAATAGAATAATCAAAATATGTCAGTTCAAGGTTTGGATGGAAACAGTATATTTTAGAAAAATTGATATTATGAAAAAGTTATTAAAGATATTGTATTGGAAAATATATATTGAAGTGAACTATGTTCGGACTTTTTCCCACCCTTTCTGAGTATTCCAGGTGTGCTGAGGGGTCCCCAAGACCACCCATAGGTTTGGTGGTTTTAGTAGGGAGACTTGCAGGGCTCAGCATATAAGTCAAAAAGAAGTGCCCCCAGCTGAAGGAGTTATGGTCATAATTAATGGTCACTTAAGTCTCGGTAAAGCTTTCCTGACGTACTTCTTA